CATATGATAAGCACTGGACTACAAACCACACAGTCTGAGGTTCCAACCTGCCAGACACTCCACAGGAGAAAGATGAGACTTCCTGCTCCCACAGAGATTTAAAGTCTTGGAAAGCCGATATAGGGTTGCTATGAGTCAGAACCGACTTGATTACACTTAAGAATAACAACAAGCAAATGTATGGATTGAAATAGTGGTAGCAACAATGGGCTCAAAAATGTGAGGATGAAACAGGAGAGAGCAGTGTTTTATTCTGTTGTACATAGGGTCACTATGAGTTGCAATAAAATTAATGGCACTTAACAACGTGTACATATGTTTGGGCTAGTTAGTTAAAAGATTTAAGAATTATTCCAAACTTTTAGTCAAGAACTATTCAAAATGTAATTTAAAAATATATTATGCTTTGAACATTATTCTTTCTTCTATGCATTTTCTTTCTCATTTATACATATCCATTTTCAAAATGCAAATGTAATCAACGGAATTTATATTATAAAACTAACAGAAAGGCACTGAGTCATTTTTTCAATTTCTAGCATCTCTACATTGTAGCCAGAAAAGAGAAATATGAATGATCATATTCCTCTATTTGAAAATATTTTAATAATTTATCTCTATATTCCAATGAATAAGGTGCTAGCAAAAAAATTTTTATGTGCTGATCAGTTTATCAATATTCTTTTATTTCTTCTTTCCTTTCTTTTTTAATTATGCTCCCATCTTAATGGCTTCTGATCTCTAAGTTTAGTCTCATTACTAACTGACTAAAAATATAGACTCCACTTACTGAGAATTTTAGTAATTCAGACACAGCTTCAAGGTTTTCTATTTCATCTATTCAAATAGGGTGTTATGATAATGACACAAATATAATTAAAACACAGTAGCAACTTCTAGTTGTTTAAAATTTGGTAGAAAAAAAAATAAAAGTTAAAACTCTAAATTAAGAAAGTATTTGAAAAGCATAAAAATGGTAAACTGGGAGACTATGTGACCAGCTTGTAGTGTGTCACAAAAGAAATACAACATTATTAGAAAACTTATCTTTAAAAAGTTTGGAATTTGTTATAAAGATAAGACAGAAAACAATATGTGATACTATGGTAATAATGATACTAGAGAAAAATAATAGTAACAATATATTAATAATAGCATTTATCACTTATTTCCACGTGCCAGGCAAATCACATATTTTATTGTTTAATCTTTACAACAATATTTACTTTACATATGAGTAAAGTGATGTAGACCACTTAAATACAGTGTGGTAGTGGTGGTGGCTGTGTGCCATGGAGTTGGTTTTGACTCATAGTGACCCTGTACAGGTCTTCCAAGGCTGTAAATCTTTACGGGAGCAGAACGTCTCATCTTTCTCCCACTAAATACAGTATACATGATTATAATAAGTAATAAAGATTAAATTTAAAGAAGGTTTGCCTGATTCAAAGATGTATACTATTAACTTCTGTGTTAAACTAACTTCATACAGGGGTTCAGAAAATTATTTCAGAAACTTAAAAAGGGGTGAACTAGTCCTAAAAGAATTCACAAATGGGGCTCACTATGACTTGGATTAGAGTTCTGGTGTGGCACTGTGTGTTAATGTGTTGGACTGCAAAATTAGCTTGAACTGCAAGGTCAGCAGTTCAAGCTCACCAGCCACTCCTTGGAAACCCTATACAAGGTTGCTATCGGTTGGTACTGACTCAACTGCACTTAACCACAACAAGAAGACTCGGACTGCTAAAGAAAGGACTACATTTTAGATAAGTAAAAGATAGTGGGAGGATATTTTAGATGAGAAAAAGCATAGGGACTGAGATGAAAAAGAATTTTCTTAATGCTCTACTTACATTTAAACTATATTTTAACTTTTTACTAATTCACAATAGACTTGTTTCATAGACTTATCTTTTTATGTCTTATTTCAATTTTGTGAGAGACAAATAACAGTATCTTTTCCTTTGCCTAGACTAGCATGTCTGCATTTGAACAGAATAAATTCCGAGGGTCTCCTGGTATGACACTGTAGGATCAGCACTGGACTGCAAACCACAAGGACATTAGTTCAAACTCACCAGTGGTTCCTGGGAAAAGCTATACAGAGTCGCTATGAGTTGGAATGAACTCAAGAGCAATTAACAACAAGTTCAGATATTTAACTGTTATTAGAAAATATAAATGTTATGTATCTAGAGGAAATACTTTAGAGTATACATGAGGCTTAGGGACAGATCATTACCATATTTTACAGGGTCAAAATTATAAATGTAATCAGTTTTAGTTACTTCTTACACAAGCACTTTCCCTACTAGAGGCAAGAAAAGATATTTGCTTACCTTGTATTACGTGTGAGTTGTCTTTCAAGAAGAAGTTATATAGGTATTTGGGAATAAAAGCAGACATGCATGCATATGCCAAAGCTGAGATAAAACAAAGACAGATGACAAATTGGTTAATGGGGTAACTGACTAGCAGTCATTCACTCAGTATATATTCCTTGAGTTTACTTTAAGTAACTGTTATAATTATAAGTGTTCATAATCAAAACTAAGGGGGGGAACCTTACTCATATAACAAAGAAAATATTTTGGACAGAAAAAATGATAACCACTCTAGGAACCTTTACATTTCAAACTACTGTGGCATTCATTATTCCACAATAATAAAACTATACAAAATGTTTAATCTTTCAATGTGATCATTATTAGTGAGCTATACAAACCTCAATATTCTTAGTTACTGTTGACATAAACAAAATAGTCAGAAAACTTTAGATTTAGTAAAGCTAGTCATAAATTGAGCCTTGGTGTGGTGCTGTAGTATAAGCACTTAACTGCTAATTATAAGGTCGGGAGTTCAAACCCACAAGCCACTCTCGGAAAGCCTACATAGGGTCGCTATGAGTCAGAATCAACTCAATGGCATAGAACACAAAAACAACAGTCATGAATTATACTTCCAGACACAAGAGTTTTTACTATGCCAGGATCAATATGAGAGAATGCAGTACATGGATAAGCACTGGACTGTGAACTACAAGGTTGGTAATTCAAGCCTACCAGCTGCTTCATGGGAGAAAAGATAAGCCCTGATGTGGCTCTGTAGGATAATCACTGGACTTGGAACCACAGGTTGGCAGTTCAAATTCACCAGTCACTCTTAGAAACCCTACATTAAGTGTCAGAACCAAATTGATAGCACAAAACAGTAAACAACAGTATCAATATGTTTAATAGGCTATACCTAACTAAACAACAAAATTTCTAGTTTAGACTAATGAGTAAATGATTATCAGAAAACAGTCCATTTTTAAAACTATTCAAATAGTGAACTTAATTTCTATAGGATTATGCCAAGTTCCAGCAGTCTATGCAAATTCTAATGACATGGATTAGAACAGAAAAGATGGAGACTCTAGGATTGCTGCTTCTAGAGATTCATGCTATCTGTGGTTGTTGTTGCTGTTTAGTGCTGTTGAGTAGGTTCTGACTCA